GAAAAAGTGTGGTGGAAGTGGACACATCCTTGTCTTATTGCTGTTCTTAGGGAGAATGCTTTTAGTTTTTGCCCATTGAGTATGATGTTGACTGTATGTAGGTTTGTCATACATGGACTTTGTTATGTAGTAGGGGCCCAGGGCATGAATTTGTGCACCTTGAAAGGAACTGTGGCAGCAAGGCTGTGGTGGGCACAGGGGTGGGTCTTGGCCCATCCTCTGTGCCCCTACCCAGACCCTCCCACCGTGGCCCCAGATCCCCGGTTTGGCAGCAGCCCTGTTCCTGCCGCCACTGCTCCCATACACTGACGTCACCGGCCCTACTCACACCGGCTGATGGTGTGGAGTGACTGGGCCAGCACCAGCAGCGGGTACAAGAGGGGCCAGCACTGTCAGCGGGTGCGAGTGATGGCTGCTACCCTGATCACCTCTCAGGAGCAGGGAGAGGTGGAGAAGCCCTTAGGTGTGACTGGGGATGGTAGCTGCCGCTCGCACACACTGGTGGCACCGAGCGATTGGGACCAGCGCCGGGCGCCAGCAGTGGGTGCGAGTGGCAGTTTTGTCACAAGCAGCAGGTCTGAGAGGCAGTTGCCAGCCCCAATCGCCCCTCAGAAGCAAGGGGAGGCAGAGAAGCTGTGAGGGGCGATCAGGGCCGGCTCCAGAGCCGGCAGTGGGTGTGAGTGCCCAGGAGCAAAGAATTTTCAGTAACCACCAGAAGTTCGCCCCAATGACAGCAACTGGTGCCCTGCCTTGGTCTGGTGCCTCTGCTCCCCTGCTTCACCACAGCCGATGCCTGCCATGTTCCACACTCTGCCGCCTGCTGCTGACGCCCGCCATGTTCCATGCACACCCCCTGGTGGTCAGTGCACATCATAGTAACTGGATATTCAGTTGTTCTATTGTTCCGCCTATTTGCATATTAGGGTTTTATATATATAGTTGATCCCACTATTCGCACTTTGCTGAGAGTTTTTATTAAAAAATGGGTGTAGGGCCCTAGCCAGTTTGGCTCAGCGGATAGAACTTGGCCTGTGGACCTCCCCAGCCTGGGCCATATGCAGGAGGCAACCAATTGGTATGTTTTTCTCACACTGATACTTTTCTCTGAAAAATCCAGAGAAATTGAAACATGCAGCAGATACAACAGACTGGCACATTTCAGAGGGGTGCAGGACAGGAAGAGATTCACCAAAGAACTTATAAACATATACGTACAGCCCATGGACAAGCAATAGTGTGGGGAAGGCCTGGGGAGGGGGTGGGTGCAGGGTGGAGGGGATCAACAGGTGTAAAAAAGGGGGCAGCTGTAATACTTTCAACAATAAAGATGGGCGCCATCTCTCTGATGGAGAGGCAGCAAGGTGACCCCTCAAGCCATACAGCAGGTTTATTTATAGGGTCAAAGGAGCTTATTTGCATTCTTAACTAGGCCCTAGCATTACTGGATTTACATATCTAGACCGCCCCTGCTGACACCTGGACAAAGGTACTCTGCTAGTGCCTCGGGCTCAGCTAACAATTTAAAGAATGTCCATGTACCTTCTCAGGTAGCCCACAGGCAGGTGTGGAAAACCCAGTTAGGACACTGACAGTAATCCAGAAGATTAATGATAGTGGCTGGGACGAGGGTGGTAACAGTGGAGATGGCAAAAACTGTTCAGATTCTAGATTTAATCTGAAGGTAGAGTGAACAAGATTTGCCAATGAGCTGGATGTGAAGTTTAAGAGAAAGAGGAATTGAGGATGACTTCTAGATTTTTATCTAAGTAAACAGAAGAAAAAAAGTACTTTTTTGAGATGAGAAAGCCTCAAATAACAGGTGTGTGTATGTGTCTATGAGGGGAAAGGATCGAGGAAGGTATAGACCAAGCGTGTCAAACTCAAAGGCTAAAACGAGCCAAGTAAACAAGGTTTAAGTTTATGTGGACAGCAAAAAACCAAAAACTTCAATTTTCACAGAAATGTAGATTTATCATGATAGAGACATGCTGAATACAAAGGGCTGAAATAAATGAGTAATCGTTAACATAATAGGACATTTTAATAAAAATTAATATTTTTCTTGAACATTAACTTACCAGACACTGAATAACTGCACAAATTAATAAGCGTAATGCAAATAAACCTATTTTTCTTGTTAACCGAATATGAAATATTTCCTGTTGTGCACACCAAACAAGTACAAGACTAATGATGTGGCAATTGGCTGCTAAAATATTTGCTGCTAGTATTAGTGGAGAGAAATGGTGAGCCTGCGTGTAAGGCGCGTAAGAGAAATGAATGCAACACGGTTATAGTAATCAGTCATTAGCGAATGTTGCAGTTCATTATTAATAATTGTGTAAAACAGGATATTGTAAAAGGTAAGTTATGAAGTTTTTATTAAAATGTTTCTTACGTACTATTATATTGGCTGGAATGAAAAAATATTCATAGAGGGCTGCATGCAACCTGCGGGCCACACGTTTGACATGCTTAGCGTAGAAATATTGAGAATTTGATTTAGGATGTGCCAAATTTAAGCAACCAAACTAATTAAAAACTTAGTTTTTTAAAAATATCTCTAATGAGTCTTATAGAAATAGTCTAAGTGTAAAGCTAGAGATCCAAGCTGGAGAGAAAAATTTGAGGTTGGTCAGGGTACTGAGGGTGGTTAAGATTCCCAAACTGGGTAGATTATTCAGGAAGTGAGTGATAATGGAGAAGAAATCTGATAACTCAACCCTGGGGCTCTCCAGCATGCTGGAGAGGCAAGAAGAAACCAGCAAAGCAGACTGAGAACAAATTGACAGCAAAGTAAGAAAAGAACCATGACAGGCTACTCCCCAGAAAGCCCAGAATTCTCAAGAATTCAAGAAGGAAAAAGGAAGAAAGAAAGAAAGAAAGAAAGAAAGAAAGAAAGAAAGAAAGAAAGAAAGAAAGAAAGAAAGAAAGAAAGAAAGAAGAAAAAGAAAGAAAAAGAAAGAAAAGAAAAGAAAAGAATTCAAGAAGGAAAAGGCCAACTGCATAAATGCAGTTGATAGAGCAAGAAGGATGAGGTTTGAGGAGTGTCCATTGGACTTAACAATGTAGAGGTCATCAGTGACCTGGACAAGAGCCATTTCCATGGAGTGATGGATACAGAAGCCAGGTTGGAGGGTTTCAGAAGGAACTGGAAAAAGCAGATTTTCTGTAGTAAAGAAGAAAGAACAAGATTATAATTAGAGGAAAATTTTAGAACTAGGGTGGATGTTTTTTAAAGATGGGAAATATGATAGTATGTTTTCATGATCATGAGAATGACCAGTAGAGGGATCGGATGACACAGAAGACTGCCAGAGAGACGACCTTGAGTAGGCCAGAGAAGCCAGGATCTAGTGCAGAAGTGAAGGATAAAACAGGATAGGTCTGCCACAAACACAGGAGGAAAGGAAGCTGGTGAATGTGCAGTGTGTGTGGTCATTCTCTTCTGATTGCTTCTGGTTTTTTGATAAAACAAAAATCAGCCCTAGGTGGTTTGGCTCAGTGGATAGAGCATCGGCCTGTGGACTGAAGGGTCTCAGGTTCAACTCTGATCAAGGGCATGTACCCAGGTTGTGGGCACGATCCCCAGTAGGGGGCAGGAGGCAGGCGATTGATGATTCTCTCTCATCATTGATGTTTTTATCTCTTCTCCTCTCCCTTCCTCTCTAAAATCAATAAAAAATAAGTATTATTTTTAATAAAAATATATATATTTTTTAAATCAGCTCACCAGATCACAAGCTAATCAGGTAAAGAGAGGCTGAAGGAGGAGGTCACGGAGAAGATACAAAGCAGTCATCTAGGAGGTGGGAGAGTGAACTTTAGGAAAACAGTGTGTGATGGATAGACAGCACGGAGGGTCCCCTGGAGGTGGGTGCCATAAAGGTAAAGGGAGCCCGGTCAGGGTGGTAGTGGCTGAGTGGCCCAGATGCTGTGAGGTTATGAAAAGTAGGATTTCCAAGAGTCCACCATGTGCCAGTACCACGTGCCTCACACATATTCATTCTCATGATCCTTTCCCACACAACGGGGTAGGTGTTATTATCTCCAATTTACAAAGGAGGAAACCAAAACAGAGGCCAAGTGACTTGCCCAAGGTTAAACCCCAGAAAGAAGCACAAACCCGAATTCAAGCCAGCCCGCCGGCCCAGCACTATGCCAGTGATACCTGCAAAGTGTTTAGACCTCTCTCAGGACTTCTAAAAGAACCTTTTTTTAAATTTTATTTTTTGCGTGAAATGTCTATATTATTAACAGATACTGCAATATAAATCTTTCAACATGCTTCTCCCTTTAGGGATTGTCAAATTGGAAATGATAACAGTTGCTTTCCTATGGTTTATTCATCCAAAAGTCTATAAAAAATAAAAACAGAGCCCACACCAAATTCTCTGGAAGAACAGAACCAGGCTCTGAATCCAGGTCAGTGGATCGCCAGGTCTGAACTGGGCAATGAATTGGGGGGAAGACCAGGGATGGTCTCTATGTCAAGGAATTATCATTAAGCTTAAATAACAGACTTTTGGGTAAACTGAGTCGGAGAAGCTTATAGAAAAGTTACCTAACTTCAGAGTATCCTTCATACGAGGAATATTAAAGTCCTTATTGCTACTGTCTATCACACATAACTGGCCCATACTGCCATTTTCTTGAAGTTTTAAGAGAACAATACCAAAAAACAATCTCACTCTGTCTGTTGAATCAAGTGTTCCCCTGCCTCTGATGCATTTGGATGGAGATCAGAAAGGGACTCAGACAAAAAAAACAACAACACAAAACAGCTTCCAGGAAACAGCTTTTTGTGGTGATCCCACCAGGGAGGCTGCCTTTGAAGTGTCTCCCTGGTTTTGTTGAGATGTTTTCTACCTGAGCCAATGAATCACTCCACAGAGAGAAACAAACTATGGCAACCCTTTATGTTAGGGTTTTTTTTTTGTGTGTGTGTTTGTTGTTGTCGTCTTTTTCAGTGGGAATTTGTTTTAAACTCTGCTCCTTACCTGGATCCACCTCGGAAGAGGAAGGAATGGAAAGGGCTTCTGCAGAACTAACAGCCTCGCTGTGGGCCTCCTGGCTGGGTTCCCACAGCACGTAATCTCTTAGGTCACAAGCCGATGGCAGCTCCAGAGTGTTGCTCTCCTCTGCCTGGCTGTCTGGAGTGGCTTGCGGAGTTGCCATAGTCCTGCCATGGGAAAAATAAAACCATCAACACAAAAAGCTTTGCAAAGAGGAGCCTCTATTCAGACAGTCACGACTTGAAGGACTGAAGTCCCAGAATCGTAAAGGCCAAAGCACAGAAGAACCAGGATAATCTGTCTTTACTTCCTTGTCTGTCCTTTAGACCCAGTATTTGTTTACCGTATTTTCTTCCTCATGAGAAACAAATGTTCTCATTATGAAAGAAACCATGAACAATTCCAGCTGGAAAACAGGCTATGTGCCTGACGAGGATGAAATAATTCAAGGACTACAAGAATATGTAACAGAAGGGAAACTGTTCATGAGATACTCAATAAAAATGGATTTTAAAACCATACGTAGGATTTGATCCAGATTCTGTAAAATAACATGTCATGTGTGAGATGCATGTGTGTGATATACATAGACCTATAGCTAGAAAAACCAAATCCTGAAGAGTATATCCCAAATTAATTTTACTGGTATCTAATCCAGTGGTTTAATTTCTGGGTAGTGAGATTATAGATGATTTGCATTTTCCTCTGTGGCCTACTCAAACATGCAATTAGCCAATTATTTGACATGCTAGGCCAGGAGCCAGGCTCTGAGGATATAAAGATGAATGTGATGGGCTTTTCCTTCAAGTTGCTCAGTTTGGGGTGATCCAAACCCAGAAAAATACCATGTCAACACAATGACACAACAGAAATTAGCCCAGAAAGGGTAGGAAGTTTACTGGAGGAGGTGATCCACGTGCATAAGGCAGACCAGGCCATGGCCAGGGGACAGTGTGCCCGCCAGAAGAACCAGCTTGGGCAACCACAGGGGCATGAGGTGTCAGGAGTTCAAAGGGAGAGTCAAGAAACAGTCATGCCCTGTGTAACTGGAGAGACAAACCCTGTGGTGTTAGTTGGCACCCTTTCCTCCTCCTGTGCCAAGTCTGGGAAGGACAGCAAGGCTGGCTGCTATCAGCAACTTGGATATACAAAATATTTTTAAATATGTTTTTATTAATTTTAAAATATATTTTTATTAATTTCAGAGAGAAATAGAAACAGCAATGATGAGAATCATCGATCACCTGCCTCCTGAACACCCCCTGTTGTTTGTACAAGAGGAGATCAAGCCCACAATCTGGGCATGTGCCCTGACTGAGAATTGAACCTGTGACCTCTTGGTGCATGGATCGATGTTCAACCACTGAATCACCAGCCAGGGAGATATACGAACTCTTTACCTGAGCTCTGGGGACAGTGAAAGAGGCTTATTAGATTCAGTGTTGAGCCATTTCTTGTTAAAAATGAGTTGTTCCTGCCCTGGCCAATGTGACTCAGTTATTTGAGTGTCATCCCATGCACCAAGAGGTTGCCAGTTTGATTTCTGGTCAGGGTACATGCCAGGATTTTGGGTTAGATCCCTGGTAGGGTGAGTAGAGGAAGCAGCCAAGCTATGTGTGCATCTCTCTCTCCCTCTCTGTTCTCTAAAAATCAATAAAGGTATATATTTTTAAAAGACAGGAATTAGGCTGAAACCGGTTTGACTCAGTAGATAGTCAGTCTGAGGGCTGAAAGGTCCCAGGTTCGATTCTAGTCAAGGGCATGTACCTTGGTTGTGGGCATATCCCCAGTAGGGGGTGTTCAAGAGGCAGCTGAATCGATGATTCTCTCTCACCGATGTTTCTAACTCTCTATCCCTCTCTCTTCCTCTCTATAAAAAAACAAAAACAAAAACAAAAAACAGGAATTATTTTTAATGAGCTGTGAAATAAATAAATAAATAAATAAATAAATAAATAAATAAATAAATAAAAATAAGTTGTTCTTTTCTCCTTCTGAGTCTATATCCCACCTGTATGTTGGGTTCTTTAATGGGGGGGTGGGAGGATCCCCTTATAGTACATCCAATCCCCCCTTCCCTCCCCCCCCCCCACCGCCCCCAATCTCTCTGTAAAATAACTATGGTGCTGGGGAAATCTTGGATCCTCTGCTAGCCTCTGGCTCATAAGTTGTTGTCATCAATAACTTATTCTAGACAACATGCATCATGACTGCCATGAGCCACCACGTACTATGCAGAGGAGTTACACAGCCAGATCTGCAGATAGGAAATAGGTGGCTTTGCAGGGCCTGTGCCCAGTGGCAGGCAATCTCAAAAACAACAGGAATGTATTCACCTGCAGTGGTCCTGGTGAGAGAAGAGTTTGTAAATGAGGGCAGGGCACTGCCAGTCAGGAGCAGGGGCAGATTAAGAACATATTTAGGCCGAAACCGGTTTGGCTCAGTGGATAGAGCGTCAGCCTGCAGACTGAAAGGTCCTAGGTTTGATTCCGGTCAAAGGCATGTACCTTGTTTGCGGGCACATCCCCAGTAGGGGGTGTGCAAGAGGCAGCTGATCGATGTCTCTCTCTCATCGATGTTTCTAACTTTCTATCCCTCTCTCTTCCTCTCTATAAAAAATCAATAAAATATATATTTTTAAAAAGAACATATTTAGGAAGGAAAACGAGAGTAGAACTTAATAACCGAATGAATAAAGGAACTAAGGAGAAATAGAGAGCCAATGAGGAACGGTACCTGGATTGTATTATCAACTGAGCTAGAGAAGATAGAAGAAAGGGGTTTGGGAGGAGGCAGTATTCCAGGTCATGTAATATTATGCAATTATTAAAATGATAGTGAGAACTTGAACGACTTCAAAGATGTAGGTTTGAATAAATGAAAGAAGCAATTTCAGAATAACATGGACAGTCTAAAATAATAAAAGGGTAATATAATAATTACACTGGACATCTTCTGGATGTCCTTCCTGACAAATCTCCATCTACCTATCTTCCATAATAATAAAAGGGTAATATGCTAAATAGACCAGATATCTTCCAGAGGTATTCTGACAAAGCTGGGGCTGGAGGGAAGCAGCTAGGGTCTCAGGTGCCTGCTGGCAGCTGGAGGAGGGAAGCCCAGGTTCCAGGTGCCAAAGGGAAGCCAGTGCTGACAGCCCGGGTCCTGGGTGCCACAGGGAAGTCACTGCCAACAGCCCAAGTCCCGGATGATGGAGGGAAGGTGGTGCCCGCAGCTAGGGGAAGGAAGGCCTACTTTTGCACGAATTTTCTTGCAACGGGCCTCTAGTATAATAAGGATAGTTGGTCTGGTCAGTGTGGCTCAGTTGGCTGGGCATCATCCTGTGCACCTAAAGTTTGTGGGATTCAACTCCCAGTCAGGGCAAATGCCTGGGTTGTGTGTTTGATCCCCGGTGGGAGGTGTGCAGGAGGCAGCCAATTAATGTCTCACTCTTACATCAGTATTTCTCTTTCTCTCTCCCTCTCCCTTCCTCCCTTTTTAAAAATCAATTAAAAATCTTAAAAAAAAGAATAGTTATAATTCATCAAGTGTTTGTTGCATGCCAGATATTATGCTAAGCTTTATCTGCAACCACTCTATGAAGCAGGTAATCCAATTATTACCCTAACTTATAGTCAGTCAGACCCAGACACAGAGACAAGTAGAGTAACCTGCCCAAGGAAACCCATGTAGAAAGTACCAAGCTAGGATGAACTTAACACCAAGACCTCCCCATCTCCTCTGTCTTCACAGCCTGCATACTGTGACCTAAGCAGGCACAGACAGGAGGAGGTGGATGAAAACAAATCAACAGAGAGACCTGGCAAGACCCTTCTTGTTTGAAGACATCAAATCACATGCTGTTATGAACATTTGCTCTAGCCGAGACTGAGCCAAGACATCAGCTGATTGCTTCTGAAAGGAGTGGAGTGATTAATGTTTCCAAAGAAGCAAGAACGTCCTGTCTTTTCACACGTGCTCCATTAGCCAATCAGGCCTGAAGTTTCAGCAAACACCTCTGCTGCAAGCTATCAGGGGCTCCTCCTTCTCTCCTTATGTTACCAAACACTGCTCTGGAATCTTCTGGAAGGAGTCAAATAGGTAGGTCAATGAAGGCCTGCCTGCAAAGGTGCCTTGAAATCAACGGAAGGTGTCATTATCAACATTAAAGCAAAAGGAATCCTTTTTGAAAACAAATAGTACAATGATGTGACATCTACCTTTTCTTTTAGAATCGTTTACATTAAACGTCAAACACATTCCATACTAGATTTGTGAACAAATAAGAACCTGTGCATGTAAAGCACAAAGCAAGTAATAGGCATAGAAGAGCCGCTTCTTATTATGGTCTGAAACCACGTGGGCTGGCAAGTAAAATACAATGATTATTTTTTGCCCCTAAAATTTGTAAATCTTCACCCAAGGACATGCTTAGAGAGAGGGAGGGAGAGATGCCTTTGCACATGCCCAGCCAGGGACCAAACCCACAACCCACGTATGTGTCCTGTCTGGGAATCCACCTGGAAACCCTTCGGTGCACAGGAAGACGCTCAACCAACTGAGCCACTCTGGCCAGGCTGCCCGCAAACTTTTGATATGTGGTTCAACTTCCTTCTCCAGAATTGCATATTTTCCTTTCTTAAAAGAGCTTGAATAACAAGGGGCCAGCCTGGGCCTTAGCTGCCACTCTTTGGATCTGTCCATAGCCTTCAGGGACAACTCTCCCTTCTCTCCCTTCTGTTCCACTGGACTGTCACTTAGACTTTCAACATGCCCAAATTGCCGGCACCGGTTTGGCTCAATGGATAGAGCGTCGGCTTGGGGACTGAAGGGTCCCGGGTTCGATTCCGGTCAAGGGCATGTACCTTGGTTGCGGGCATATCACCAGTAGGGGGTGTGCAAGAGGCAGCTGGTCGATGATTCTCTCTCATCAACGTTTCTAACTCTCTCTCTCCCTTCCTCTCTGTGAAAAATCAATAAAATATATTTAAAAAAAAAAAAAAAAAAAAAAACATGCCCAAATTGCTCCCTCCCGTTTCCAACAAAACCTGGTGTATAAGGGAATAACCTTATTCTCTAGAAATGCTCCTTAAATATAGTATATTGGTAGGGGGACATGATGTCTACAACATGATGTTCTAAAAATGTGTATATGCACGTGCG